CACACCCATACCTTCTCTTCACTTTTAAGAACACTCATCAAACCAGTTGAGTGCAATGAATGAAGAACATCCAAGACGTCTTCTCTCTTATTTGGTATAAAGTAATCATCATTGTCCTTACCAGCAGACATTACATCAGAGAAGGTCAGTATATTCTCTTTCCTTTCCTCCAGTAGACCATACATCATGTGACAATAAAGACTCAAATCCCTTCCACTTGTACTACGAATGGACTCACAGACACTACACAACTTATTAAAGAAGGAATCCACACCACTCCCACCAAGCTTACGACAATCTAAGAACACACTATCACACCTTTCCTTTACGATAATCTCCTGTATTTCTTCCTTTCTCCTTCTCCTTTCAAAAGGATTACTTATCTCATCCACATGACTGACTATTACAATAACATGGCATTCATTAAGAGCTTTGTGTGCTTCATTTCTGACAACTGTTAGCCATTGATGAAGCTGTTTGACTGCTTCCTTCTCCAATATATTGACTAGTATCAGGAACACACCACCAGAACCTTGTAACAGATTCTCAATGACAGCACTGTGACTGGAGTAGTATTCCGAATGACCAGCAAAATCATGAAGAATGATGTTACCCAGTGTCCTGTGTTGTAGTTTATAAGGAATGATGCCAGCAGTACAGGGCACTACCCCTCCAACATTTCTAAAGGAACCAAGAAGAGTAAAACTAGCTGTGTCATTGATGACATGACTAAGAGTACTTTTACCAGCTCCAGGATTACCCACAAGGAGGACGTTAACATAAGAATCAATTGGATGAGATGATTTTATACCACCAAACTTCTTGAAGACAGAAAGAGTATCAGTGGGACTATACTCCTTAGCTAGTTTAAATGGTGTATTCCCCTCATCGTCTTTAGCCAATGGATCACATTTACCAGTTGATAGTAAATATTCAACAGCTGCAGAATAACCTAAAGCAGCAGCAAGGTGAAGAGGTGTCCGCCGCCACCTGTCAACAGCCATTGGATCACAGTGACACTCATTAATGAGATACTTTACAATATCAATGTGTCTAGCAGCAAGGTGAAGAACAGTCACACCACTATTGTTAGTAGCCATTGGATCACAGTGATGATGATTGATCAAGTACTTCATGAAATCAAGTGATCCATTCTCAGCTACTCTGTGAAGAACAGTATCTCCATACTTATCAGGAACCTTTGGATCACAGTGACACTCATCAATGAGATATCTCATCACATCAACATGATTACGCCATGCAGCATAATGAAGACAAGTCCAACCATCATCATTTCTTTCGTGTGGGTCACAGTGATATTTAGTGATGAGATCTTTTGTAACATCTAACCAGCCATACCTTGAAGACAAATGAAGTAAACTAACATTATCCCACACACTATATCTCCTTTTAATTTTATTCAGTTCCTTCACTAATGGTAGCAAGCGAACAGCTTCTTTATGATCTCTTCTCTCAAACGCAGCCCAACACTCGTCCTCTAAGGACATCTTGTGATCAGTTAATTAGATTCATTGATACCCGCCCACGCATCAGGAATTCATTATCAATACATGATGTGCATTGTACATGTACATGTGTAATTAAAGACAATAATACAGTTAATAAGTGTATTTTGTATTTTTGTGTTTATTTCTTTTTCTTTTTTCCTTTTCCTTTCCCCTTTCCCTTCCCTTTCTTCCCTCCTCCTCCATCATCCTCTCCCATTGCTTCTTTGATAGCTTTAGCTCTCTTCTTTCCAAGAGGAGTCTTGTTAAACCAAGCCTACATTAACAAAAAAGGTATAAAATAATTATTAGTTCTATTTTTATACTATAATTACATTTACAGTACATTTATGTATAATATAGATTGTTTTTAGTAACAAGGTTCT